AAGGCAGACGTGCCGCGTACTCGAGGCCGAGTAGAAGAATACGAAAGTTGGCATTTTTAGAGGCCCAATAGCGGTAGGTAGGTGGATACCACTTCAGGTAGTATGAGTCTAGGGCTTATGCGGACGATATCAGAGCCTGTGATGAAGTTCCTCTCCAAAAGGGAGAAAATATCGGTTGCTTGGATGCCTTCGCGATCAGGAAGTCATCGTCCAAGAGGCAAACGCCCCCTTGGGAGGCCGAGCGAGAGCCTCAACCTTACTTGCAGTATACGAGTAAGGTTAGAGGTACCACTTGGGCAAGCGCGACAATCCGAGCACTACTGCAACCTGATAATCATACATTTTCAATTGCCCCGACCGTACGGTTGGAGCGTATATTAATTTATCCTGACTAATGTACCAACGATTAAGTTTCAGTGTGTGTGTCGTAGATCTACCCGACACAATACTAACCTGATCAACCCCTCGACCTTTTCGGTTGGAGGGTATCATTACTAATTCTAACCATCACTTTGCACGTCATAACCATGCGCACGCATATTATCGAAATTTTCTCACCGATTTGCCCCCGGCTTCATTGGCCGAGGAAATTCGTTTCGAGTGTCACGCTAAAGCGTGCACACCATTTCCATTCCAGACTGGCTCCATCATGGTAACCGACGTCGTCACTGTGTTGAATGGAAAAGCATGGCCAAATACCCTTGTAAGGGTATTTGGTCCGACACCGACTCTATGGAATGGATACATATAGAGTGTGTCTAGTTGACTGAAAAATTTCATAGGACCTCGTTGAAATACGGGCCCTTTGACCGCGATAGAGTCTGGGAGGTTCTCATCATCTTGAGAATAGGTAAGTATGATCGCCTAGAGGTAGACGCGGCAGCCTGGGACGCCATAATTAGTCGGGAGGTGACGACCACTGCGTTCTACATGGATGATGTTTTCAAACTGTTTGAAGTAATGTGGTTTGAGTAAAAGAGCGGAAGGTCGGAAGCCGTGAGGAAATCAAAGTGTCGAGGGTGCATGTAAATTGGGGAGTAAAGTATGGTAGGAAGAAGGTACAGCATGTTAGCAGAGCGCAGGAGGATTAAAACGGGTAAAGGCATCTGGCTACTGTGGGCGCAGTTGTTGATCGCAGGAAAGGAAGCAAGACAAGAAGGGAAGTACGAAATAGCTCGAAGAAGGACGTTCCTTGAAGACCGGCCACTAGGGGTCGAGCCGCCAAGAGAACGGGATGGCGGCATAGAAATCAGCATACCCACCCGGAATGAAGTCCGGGATCCTATAGTGGACTGGGTTGGTATCAAACCTTCGAAAAATATGGTGTACCTGGTAAACGAAGTTGAATGGCATGCGGAAGGGGTGTAGGGCGGTTGGAATCCGGATCCGCAAGGGCACGTGTGCGCGAAGGGACGACTGTACCTATCGAAGGATGGGTGGCGCACCTTCGGTGTCAGGTTAGCATAAAGGGAAGACTCGCTGAGCATGTTCGGGGACGCATGGCAGCTGGTATGGCGGACAGGGTTGGAGTCCGCCAACCCTGAGCATGATAAAGTAACGGCAGACCTAAGGGTTGCCATGACGAAGATCTTTACTCTACCTAGTGCAAACGTACTAATGAGGTTGTCACCCTTTATAATGCAAAGGATGGGTGGCGAGGCGCGCGTCAGGCAGGCGGCAGCGGCCCTTGCCGACCTTGCCTTCGAAGAGGCAATGACTTACAAGGAATACTACCGAATATTTTTAGAGATGAGGCCGTTTGACAAAGAGGAGAAGTATGAAGTACTACACATACTACACGCAATTTTGACGATAAAGCTAAGGATCCCACTAATCAATGACCACATCTTGTGGGGCGTCATCCGGCGGGAAGTAGGTCGAGGCCCGACTTACCTAGACGATTTGTACCGGTTGTACAAGTTGCCAGAGGAAGATACTGTCACCTAAAAGGCGAACTAAGAAAGGAAAAAGTAGTAGGAACCAGAGAAGAAGAATGAGGACATAGAAGGGAAAAGGGGACAGTAGATGGACAATTGTTAAAGATGGGCTGTAACCCTCTTTGTTTGGGCTATGCAAGAAAATCATCAAGCGACGATGGCGGCAAAACGCGTTCGGACAACACGCCAACCCCGGTACCCCGGCCCTCCCTGGAATAACGGCAGAGGATGGGAAGTGTCCCTTCCGTCAAGTTTCGAATTCCGAGGAATCGACGGGGAATAGAGGACCACAGTGCATTCGTAATGGTGGAATGTTTATGGATCGGGATGCGGTTTAACAGAGGACCTGGGGATGGATGACCTACACTCCAATTTAGAAGTAACCGGGACCTTGTACCTGCCTGAAATTGGATGGCACTCGCTGGGGGTAGGAATAGACCAAGGTCACGAGCTAGCCCCGGTTTTCCGGAGGACCGCCCGGGTGTTGACACAGATAGGTCAATCAAACAGAGGCAGGAGGAACGTGGGCTAACAGACCAGAGTGGAAGTAGGGAGCTGGCGAGAGTTTAGGACACCAACAACCCCGCTAAGATGTCAGGTCCCCCGGTTCATGATAGACCTCATCATTGGGAGCCTCCCTAGGGCACAGGACCTGCCAGACTCAGTAATAGTCTGGACAAATCAGTTCCCACCTTAAGCCATCGGGATGTTTTATGACATCTCCGTAGAGCACGAACTGTTCTGGGGGAACCAGGCCCAATAGTTGCTGAAGGTTATTAATATCCTGATATTCGGGTTGCCACGGTTAGCCTATGCAGAATACGAACACATAATTTGGAGAGAAATTGAGATGGGGGAGAGCTATCTGGCAGGAGTAGGTCAACTATTCGAGGAACCTACTGAACCGGAATGACCACAGAGACGAGAGCAAGACTAGGGCTAGGAAGCGAGCCAGTATGGCGAATAAAGTATCCGCCATTACATATAGGGGCGCACCGACGGAAATGGGAAAGGTTTGTTAGAGCCAGACGGTCAAACATGTCGTTGCAAGGCGGGAAAGAGGTGGTAGGGACGCATAGGCTGAAAAGTGGGGAGCGTCTCGCGGGTACATTTGTAGTATGAACCACCAAAACGACATTTCGGCGAACTCCGAAGGACCAGAAGGGGTACGTAAATTTTAGGGGCCAAGGCATGATGGAGGACCCCAACGAGGTTAAAAGAAGGTATCAATCGGCAGGAAACTGGAGCTGGGCAAAACACGGGAACCTAAAGATGGAGGAATGAGAGGTTTTATTTAACCATTTGTGCGTAGGAGAGACCATTAAAGCAGTAAGACAGATAGAGGGAGACAAAACGTACAGGGTAGGGAGAGACCTTAAGGTGCACGAGGAAGCGAGAGGACACCCCCGGCGAGAAAAAGATAAAGCTGATTTGAAGACGAGAATGTTTTCAGAGCTAATAGCAATAGGAAAACTATGAGGGGTAGAGTTTAAAGTAAGTTTCTCCTTCTTCTTGGTTGTATGGCGTGCAGGTCTGATACGTTATGGATGTCACAAACAACAGTAGGGGCCAAAGAAATCAGCGTGGTCAAACATACAACATGGATGGTCGGAATCCAAGGGATCAAGACGACAAGATAAATGTCGGCCGAAGGTTCAACAACGAGGGGGTCAAGGACGATGTGAGGGGGATTTTGGGAAAAGGGAGCCATAGCGAGAAAAGGCTTGCAGAATCTCGCGGAATGAGGTCAGTCGTAGTTGGTAATGTGGAAGAGTCGCAAACTTCGGAGATAGGCTTGGCGAAGAAAAGGAAGGTTGCGGACACCCTACAAAGGCTTAAGCGATTGGAAGATGGGGATAGTTACATGTCTTGCTTTCGAAGCTTCCGTCGCAATGCGGATTTTCCTAGCTTGGTTTTGGTAAACACGATGGTGTGTTGCTTGCGAGTGCTTCGTGTCCATAGTACCGTGCCATTTACATGGTTGAGAAAAGAGATTCATAGCGTTGTCCTCGTCTATGTACGAGTTTACGATGGTAGAGAGTTCCGTCCAAGAGTGTAGAGGTTCTAAAGGTGAGTCCATAGTGTAACAGAGAGAAAAAGGTTGGGGGTAAAGTGCGATTAAAGTGGTGAGGTTGCGGCAGAGAAACGGGAGGAAAACGAGTGAAGGATGGCTTCTTACCTGAGCAGTAAGGCTATGGAGGTGAAAAAGCTGCCACGAATAGGAACCTTGCCTTTTTGAGATTGTGTTCGAAGTTACCGTACGGTGAAACGTTGTTGCTGATGCAGTGCAGGTACGGAGAACGGAGCAGCGAGAAGGCTAAAGACAAAAGGACACTTCCATCTGGGGCAAAAAGACTAGAAATAGTAATTCCCCAATATTGGCGAGAAGTGCCAGAATCTCACGCTGAATTTCAGCGCAGTCCCTGCGAGTTCGATACCGCTCAATGTAGGCCTCCCCTATGCGGGGTCCGGTCGCAATGGACCGCTGCGGAAAAGGGGGGGCCCGATGGGCCAAGTAGTAATCCAATAGCCGAGAGGTATTTCAGAGTCCAGATCCCAATTGCTGCGGTATCCTCCAGCTCAACCGAATGAACCAGGTCCTTCTTAGAAGTCCCGATGCAGAAAAAGAGGCTGCCACAGCAATGGATTTGACCTCCTCTCCAGCGTAGGTTACTGCACCTGGCCCTGCTAATCCCGCCTCCGACTGACAGAGATCGGCCCTAAGCAGGGCGGTGGCTCAGCTGCCGCAGAACTGCGACCAATGGTGAGGGTGGGTCTATGCCTTCTATGTAGTGCAGCGCGACCCTCTCTCGCACTTGTGATGTGCATGAAGACGTGGAGAGTTCCTTTCATTGTCGACCCGTGAACAAAATAGGTACGTTTGCAGTGTGCCGAAGTGCACCCTTTCTCTCTCTCTCTCTCTCTCTCTCTCTCTCTCTCTCTCTCTCTCTCTCTCTCTCTCTCTCTCTCTGTGTCTCTCTCTCTCTTCCCGTCCTTCCCTCCATCTCTTTCTCTCGCTCTCCTACTCTCTCTCTCTCTCTCTCTCTCTCTCTTGCTCTCTCTCTCCCCGTCCTTCCCTCCATCTCTCTCCCCGTCCTTCCCTCCATCTCTCTCTGTCTCTCGCTCTCATCGATGTTCTGCATGCAGAGGTGGATAGTTCCGTTCACGCTCGGCCCAAAAACGAAATAGGTGAGTTCGCGCGGCCTGGGGAAGTGTGGATAGTTCCGTTCACGCTCGGCCCAAAAACGAAATAGGTGAGTTCGCGCGGCCTGGCGAAGTGCACTCTCTCTCTCTCTCTCTCTCTCTCTCTCTCTCTCTCTCTCTCTCTGTGTGTGTCTCTCTCTCTCTCTCTCTCTCTCTCTCTCTCTCTCTCTCTGTCTCTCTGTCTCTCTCTCTCTCTCTCTCTCTCTCTGGCCTTTTCTATATCCCTCCTTTCCTCCCTCCATTCATTCATTGTGTAGAGCTTGTGGGGGTCATGCCGTGAATGCGGAGAGGCAGGGGGAGAAAGGAAACTACGGTAGGGGGAAGTCGGGTGCATGGTCAGGCAGGGAGGAGGAGCTGAGAGGTCTGCTCCCCAAAAACTTGCACCGTCGAAATCTTGAAGGCGCTGGAGTGGTAAGAGAAGACGTTGGGGAGGGTCAGGATCGGTATCAGAAGGATGGGAGGGTCGGGATTTGCTCGGTCGGAATGGGGATGCGGCGACAGAGAAAGGAGGAGGAGAGTCACCGCGATATGGGTCAAGCATGCTAGGTAAGATTACCGGCGTCGTTGAAAGAAAAAAAAAAAAAACCCACGAAGATTGTCGGCGCCAAGTAGGCTGTGCAGGGGGAAGAACTCGAGGAGGATCCTCGAGTAAATGCGAGGACGATGGAGGTCGGGGACCCAATTTGTCAAGAAGGGGATGGGCAGCTCGAATTGGAGAGGGGGGGGCGCTGGGTGGGGGTTGATCGGGATGATATGGGATCGAAAGGAGCAGCAGGTGGTCGGGATGCCGGCCAATCAGGGTGAGGATGTAGGGAACGATGAAGTGCAGGATAAGGAGAAAGAAAGCCAAGGCAACAGGGTAAGGAGTGGAGGCCGTGGATGGGGATTCGGACAAGGCGGCGAAGAAGAGATTGGAAGGCGGGAAGAGAGGCGTAGCGCGGAGGAGGGAGATAGGTTGCAAGGAAAGGAGAGAGGAGGAGAATGACGAAGGGCCTGAATCAACGAGAGGAATAAGGTAAACGTGGATATGCAGGTGATGGAGGACAGAGCAAAATGAAGAGAGAGAGAAAAACCGACGGACAGACGAAGAGAGGAAAGCACATACCAGATCTGCACGGGCCACATCGAGTGTTCGAGGAGTAGGAGCTCCAAGAGCATCCCAACAGAGGAGAGGAAGTGGTGGAGAAAGACGGGAAGAGAGAGGCGACATACACAGGACAAGGAGATAAGAGGATCGGGACAAGCGGATTGGTGGGGGGAAGGGACGCTGGGCCCGGTTCTCAGCAAAAAAAACAAAACGAAAAAAAAAACAATTTTCGGAGAGAAAAAAAAGAAAAAAAAAGAAAAGGAAGAAAGAGAGCGCGCGCGCGCGAGAGAGAGAGAGATTGAGGGAGAGGGAGAGGGAACAGATTGTAGCGAGGGTGGGGTGCCCCTCTGTGAGAACCGGTGAGCATCCTGCATACCTCCGTGCCTCCCCTTCGCCTATCGCTGTTTGCTTTCCTCCTCTTTTCGACCGCTCTCCTCTCCCTTCTCTCTCTCTCTCTCCCGCTCTTGTTTGCTTCTCTCGATTTCTGTTTGATCTCAGAATGGAATGAGCCTGCTGACGACAAACCTATTCTTAAAACGAAGAAAATAAGAAGACAGAAAAACCTATTCTAATTATAGGCTCATGTCATCAACTCTTTAGCAGCGTTTTGTTTTCCCTCAGTATTGCCATGACCATGGAGCCGCCTCCTTGAAAAAATACAATAATGGGGATGATAGATGTTTTTTCCTTTCTTTCTTCTTCTTAAGAACAGATTTGTTGTCAGCAGGCCAATCCCATTCTGAGATCAAACAGAAATCGAGAGGGGCAAACAAGAGCGGAGAGAGTGTGTGTGTGTGTGTGTGTGTGTGTGTGTGTGTGTGTGTGTGTGTGGGTGTGTGTGTGTGTGTGTGAGAGAGAGAGAGAGAGAGAGAGAGAGAGAGAGAGAGAGAGAAGAGAAGGGAGAGGAGAGCGGTCAAAACGAGGAGGAAAGCAAAACAAAACAAAACCAAAAAAAAAGATGGTGGGACGTGGAGAGGGTGAGAGAGGGAGGGAGCCGGCGCGTCCAGATACCGACTGCAGGGACACCGATGAGATATAGGACACAATTGTGGTGACCAGTCGGACAAGTCTGTCATCTGCGGCCTGCCCGTCCATATACCGACTGCAAGGAATGTGCATTGATTGATCGGATTAACAGTGCACCCTCCACTCCACTACACGCATTAATTCATCCATCTAGTCCATTCTCGATTCGAACCGAGGTCTGTATTTCAACAGTTTATGGGTGTTCCAACTGAGCCAATCGGAGGTCGAAATCCATGTAATCAATCAAATCTGTAAAGTCAATCAATCAGTCGGCCACGTCAGTCTATCAATCAGTCAGCCACGTCAATCAATCAATCAGTCAGCCACGTCAATCAATCAATCAGTCAGCCACGTCAATCAATCAATCAGTCAGCCACGCAATCACTCAGTCCATCCATCCATCCATTAATTAATTAATTAATCTAGCAGGCGAGCAATTAATCGACTTACAGTATTTATCTCAGTTTTTTTTTCATCAAATCGCAACCCCGGAATCGAACCCATATCCACTGCTTGGAAGGCAGACAATTTACCTTTAATCTATATCCGCTATTTGCACATTGAATTGATTGACTCAGGCTCCTCTGGGTGAACGTAAAGTTGTGTCCGGGATCATCATCTGTTCACATAGAGGGGACTTAGGGGAACTATTTCAGCCTGTAATGAAGAAAAAAAAAAGTAAAAGTGAAGCGAAAATTTTGGCAATTGTGCACAGAACTCGATTTTCTATTCCCTCGCGATGATGATCTTGGATTTTTGTAAATTTTGTAAGTTTTTAAAGTTTCTTTTTTTTATTTGTAAATTTTGGGTGAATTTTACGTATATTGTGCGTCAATGTGGCTCTTCTCAGCCTTTCAGCCAAATTCACGATGAAGAGCCACATTGATGCACAAAATATGATAAAATCATGCATGATGAAAAAAAAAAAAGAAAAAAAAACGATTTTCTTTCAGACTTTCAGCCAAATCCCTACATCCGAATTATGGGGATGCACACAAGTCGGACGAAACATCTTCCATGGAGAGTTCAGCAGGGTCGGGGGTTGGGAAGCAGATGGGCCAAGTGGTTGGTAGCAGAAGAATACCGGATAAGAGTCAGCGTGCAGATGCGTTGGAGAGGAACCAAATGGAAGCGGTGGAGAGGTGCCTAGTCCCAATTTTGTGCACAAGCTCAGAGGACGGGGTGAAGTTCCTGTCTTTGCTGAACGCAGAAGGGGTTCCCCAGTTTCCATCCAAAGTGATCGATAAAACCCCAACACTGGCAATGATCATGGGGGTTGTAAAATCGCTGTATGGGGAACACGTCCCAGTCCGGTTAATACCGAAATCCACAATGGCTCACGTGATGGTTGAGACGGTGCAGGGGTACAGCAAACTGTATTTCCCGCTCCTAGATGCGCGGATAGCCCCTGAGACAGCAGCTGTGCTCAACCAGACGGGAGTACGAAGTTTCCAAGTGGACCTGCTGAGGGAGAGGAATTGGCAGGAACTGGAAAAAATCCAGGTCCTGCCGGGTGTCTCCGCTATGGTCCTGGTGAATGTCAACGAGAAACTCATGGGGGAAGAAAACCTCCACTCCGGATTTCTGGCCAAAAGGCTGATCGAAGACTGGCGCTCATCATCAGAAACAAGCTCGGCTAAAGGGAACTCGCAGCGCCACTCAAGAAGTTCCATTAGAACAGGCCATAGACAGGCCTCTCTGAGAGAAATGATACCAACCTCCCGCATACAAGACCAGGTGGAGAAAACAACAGAGAATGGAGAAAATTAGAGCTGTAACCTGGAACGTGCGGGGCCTCTGGGATACCAATGGGAGAATGAAACGGAGAAGGCTGAAGTCGTGGCTGCATGAGTGGAAGGTTAACTGCGTGTTTCTGCAGGAATCCAAGTTAAATGAGACCAAACTGAAAGAATTTGAGATGTGGTGGGACGGACCACAAGTGTGGTCCCCAGCTCAGGGGTCTAGAGGGGGAGTAGGTTTTCTGCTCCACCGGGATCTGCAGGCACACATGATTGACACAAAGGCAGACATCTGGGGGAAATGGGCGTGGATGAAGGTAGAGATTGGAGGGGAGGCTTGGGTACTTATGACGGTCTACGCTCCAACGGTAGTCAGCGAGAGAGTTAAGTTCATAGCCAGACTGATGATGCATGTACCGAAAACGGACAGGCTGTTGTTAGCAGGAGACTGGAATGTGTCCTTGGACGAGGCACTCCGACCAAACTCAAGGACAGCGGAACGCAACGATGTTAAGACGCTGATGGAATTCTGCACAGAGCTTTCATTGACTGATCCATTCCTGATACTCAACCCGGAAGAACCGGGCTATTCCTGGTTCTCAAATCTGCACAGGGACAGACAGACAATCACGAGGAGACGTCTGGACTTCTATCTTCTCAGCGAACAAGTGATGGAGAACATTATCATGACCAAGGAGGTAAGCCACCCGATGTCTGACCACAAACCAGTGGTGTTAGACATACGAATAAGGATTGGAATTGAGAGGGGGAGGGGCTTCTTCCGATTGAACAGTCAGGTTCTCGAAGCACCAGGGATTATGGAATGGGTGGAAAATCACATGAAAGGGTGGAAAGAGGCTAGACAGCACTTCGAGTCAAGCGCAGAGTGGCTAGACGGAGGCCTGGCAATCACGTCTGGGGTTCTTGATGTATGTTCACGGATCTAGCAAGGAGTAGAAATAAGAGAGAGGCGGAGTGTCTCAGGAGGATAGAGGAGCCGGAAGATAAGATGGAGGGACACCCAATATCAGCAATGGTGTGGGCAGCGGAGCGGGAAAGGAGGATGGCAGATTGGGACAAGATGCAGGTAGAAAAACAACAAAGATGGTTACAAATCCTAAAGGAGAAGGGAGTGGAAACGAATGATAAGGTGACTAAGGAATCCTTTCAAAAACTCCAGCCAAGACGTGCGTAGAAGCAAATGATAGAATTGAGACACCCGTTTGATGATTCAGCCCCCACGGCCTGCACGGCGGTAGGGATGTTGAGGTACGCGAATCTGTACTACGAGGATATTCTCAGGACTAGAAGACCGAACGAAGATGTTAACACATACCTGTCTCAGCAATCAGATATGTGGGAGGACACCAAGGTACGGTTAGGCACAGTAGCGAAGCTGGATATGGACAGACCAGTTACCCTGAAGGAACTCACCCAAACGCTGAAGTCTATGGTGCGAGGGAAGTCCCCGGGGGTCGACGGCCTTACCGTAGAGTTTTACTCCGCGAACTGGGGTGTAATCGGGCCTCTACTAGTGGAATTGTACAACGAAGGGTTGATAGGAGGGAGACTGGGAAAAGGGATGACTCACGGGGTGATCACGGTGCTGTTCAAAAAAGGGGATAAGTATGAGGTCAGAAATTGGCGTCCAATTTCTTTATTGAATGTGTCCTACAAGATCCTCGCAAAGATGTTGGCACGCAGATTGTCCAAGCACCTTCCACAACTGGTGGAAAGGGACCAAGGGGCGTTTGTGCAAGGGCGGTCAATATTTAACAATATTGTGACTGCTATCAAAACACTGGAGATTGTACAGTCCGAGGGCCTGGACACGGCGGTCTTGCTGTTGGACCTGGAGAAAGCATACGACAAGGTCAGTTGGACTTTTGTCCTCACCACCTTGAAGAAGATGGGGTTCGGCACAGGGTTTTGCTCATGGATGAAGGTAATGTACATGAGATCCTCCTCCGCGGTGATGATCAACGGGCACCTCTCAAAACCGTTCCAGCTATCTCGCTCGCTGAGACAAGGATGCCCCCTTGCCCCATTGGTCTTCGTGCTACAGATGGAGGTACTGCTCAACAGAGTTCGGCGTAATCCAGACATCAGGGGATTATCACTGCACAATGGAGAGAAGTGCAAAGTTAAAGCGTTGGCGGACGACCTGTTTGCAGTAAGTGACAACACACCCAGTTCCCTGCTGGCGCTGAAGGGCATCCTAAGGGAGTACTCCACCCTCTCTGAGGCTTCGGTGTCTACCTATTTTTTGCCAGATCAGTTTTCACTCAGCGTAGAATGGGGGATGAGAAGAGTGGAAAGGGGAGAGGAGGAAAGGTTCCTCGGGGTGCTGATCAGCCTCCAAGTGGAGTCATCAACAGAAGGGCTAGTCCTGCAGCAGCGTATCGCGACAAGGCTCAATATGTGGGGAAGCGCCTGGCACCTGTCGCTGATAGGGAGGGCCCTGGTTGCTAATATTGCATTGTTTTCTATACTGTGGTTTGTGTCCACAGTAAAGGAATTAGTTGTGGGAGTGTTAAAAGCGATTAGACGTCTGGTGGCCAGGTTCCTTTGGAAACCACGGGCGAAATCCACAGAGGGTTTCATTTCGAAGGTGGCACTGGACACACTAACCTTCCCAAGAGAGAAGGGAGGACTGGGACTGGTAGACCCAATCAAGAAGAACCAGGCACAGCTATGGGGCTGGCTGGCCAAAGCAGCAAATTGTAGTACCAGGGAACAATGGATGACGCTGGCAGAAAGGATCCTGATGAAGGAATGGGGACTCAGCAGGCCAAAGGATGTGTGGACCTGCTTTCTAATGCCCTCATTCCGGGAGAAGAGGCTCAAGTCGGTGTTTTGGGAAGCAGTCCGCAAGGCGTGGAAGCAACACCCTCCGGATGTTCAGATCCCGCCCGCTACAAGGGATGAGGTTTTGAACCAGCTGGTGCTCGACAATGCAGAGATTCAGGACAGTTCCGAAACATGCTGGTAGCTGATGGCTCTCCAGGATCCTTTGGGCAAGCGTGGGTCAAGAAGGGTATAGTCAAGATTGAAGACCTGTGGTCAACAAGCATGGGGAGCTGGAGGCCTCTAGGTGAGATAAAGAGAACCTTGAGAGGGTTACAAAGGGTGGAGGAACATTTGAGGACGGTGCTTCAGTCAATCCCTGTAGATTGGCTGGTCAAGTTGGGACCAGAGGGAGTAGATCCCACCGGTACTTGGTACCTCTCAAGCACGGAACACGTAGAGAAAGTGCTGTGGAAGGTCAAGGAAATTCTACCCAGTGGCTTCAGAAAAGTTGAGAGGTGGCGCAGTGAGGGAATCTCTAACTCCGTGTGCCTTCTGGAAGAGATGACAGTGCGGGCCTGGGATAATCCAGCAGAGGTCAGAGTGGTGGAAACGAACAGGAGATCTCGTACTAGGAAGGCACCGTGCTGGATTGGAGGTACAACGTTAAGACAACTGCAGATTGACCCCATAGCCTGGAGCTGGTCGCCCGCTGCAGGGGAGGAGGCGCCGCTGAGATTGGTGGACTATTCAACTGCCCAAGGATATCGGATAGGCCCCCAACAGGAGAACTCCAGCCCAAATCGCCACCTCCAGGTGGCAGGCGGTATGAGCGAGGACCTCTCCCAAGCAAGTCCAAAATTTGACAGACTGTGGGAAATCTTGACAGCACTGCCAAACGGTAAACAAGTGAGTGTATTGTGGCTGCTCTCTCCGATGGTCACACCATCGGCGGTGTGGCTGGTGAGCAGAGGCATGGCTATAGACCTGGGCTGCTCAAGGTGTAGATGGCCATTTGAATCAACTAGACACCTGTGGTGGGACTGTCCAGCGTCTAAGCGGGTATGGGCATGGTGGGCCTACCACTGGTCGAAATTCGGGGACCAATCTATTTCCTGGGAAGTGAGATGGGTGTTGCTGGGTTTCCTGCCAACCAACGTTAAGGGCCTCCAGGGCTGGGGGTATATGGCGCATGTCACAAGAGGCATAATTTGTGAAGTAGTCTGGAGGGATAGAAACAGGGCACGATTCCAGAAAAAACTGCTCTCGGACTTGGAAACCAAGCGCTGTATCAAACAGGGAATAGAGCAGGCGATTCAGGTCGATTGGAGGCGGAAAGCGAAAGCTGGGAAAGGATCAAGAAGTCAGTTGAGATGGTTCAGGCGCACCTGGGCCAGAAGTTGGCACACATTGATGCACGAGGAAACCTGGGCATATCGCGTTGGGTTCAGAAGCTGAACAACCCAGGGGAATGAGCGGCGGACTACGGGACTAGGGGGAACAGTGAAACTTCACTGAGTCATGTCTCACGGTCAAGGACGGTCAGAGGTAGTAGGCAGAGGATAGAAGGGTAGAGGGTACAAAGTTACCTGGCACTCGGTTCAGTAGGGTCATAGTAGGCTGCTAGGAGAGTGCCAGTAGTTCCGAACCAGGTCCTCTGGGCCGTTGTAGTCCCAGATGTAGGATAGACTAGCTAGTAGAAGGATATGACGCTGGTATCAGGACAACTACTCGTTGGTTATGGTATGATTCGAAACGGACAAGTTGGCTCAGTAGTTAGAAGGCTAAATCAGTTTCAACTGTTATGGATAACCTGGTTCGATGGGAAGTCCCTGTAGCAAGAGATCCACAGGTGTTTCGCCTGTAAGCTAAGCTGGCTGATGCTGTCAGATAACCCCGGGTAGGATTGTGAGGTCCCCGACCTCAAATCATTGTGGTAATGAATTGAAGTTTGGATTTAATAATATAAAAAAAAGAAAATCCCTACATCCCTACTTATAGAAATCGCTATTCGCGGCTTAAGACTTTAAGACTTTAAGATCGCGCGGCGATCCAGACCATCCGCTTTGCCGGACGGCCTGGACTGTCACGCGATCTTAAGACTTCAAGATCGCGTGGAAATCCGGACCGTCGGGCCAGTAGGACCGCGGGCGGCCTGGAACGGCGCCTCCCGCCTGCCCACCTCGACTCCGCCACCCGCTCCCGCCTTCTGCCGCCCCCCACCTCCGCCTCCTCCAACCATCTCCCCTCCGCCACTCCTACCATCTCCTCTTGGCCTCCGCCCACCATCTCCTCTCTGACTCCGCCAACCTCTTCTCCACCCGGCGCCCACCTCGCCTCCACCTCCGCCCACCTCGCCTGTACTTCCGCCCACCTCGCCTCCACCTCCGCCCACCTCGCCTGTACTTCCGCCCACCTCCCCTCCGCCTCCTCCTGCCATCTCCTCTCCGACTTCGCCCACCTCCCCTCCGCCGCCGCCATCGCCCACCATCTCCTCCCTGCCTCCACCCACCTCTTCTCCGCTTGGGGCCACCTCGCCTCCGCCTCCGCCCGCCGGTCCCCTCCCCTTGGGATTCCTCTGCCACTTCTCCCTCGGCATTCCCCCGCCAGTCCTCATCCGCTCCGGCCTCCACCTACGCTCACCTCCGCCCACCTCACATCTGCCTCTGCCACTTCTCCCTCGGCATTCCCCCGCCAGTTCTCCTCCGCTCCCGCCTCCACCTACGCTCACCTCCGCCCACCTCACATCCGCCCTTGCCAACCTCACCTCTGTCCACCTCACCTCCACCTCCGCTCACCTCTGCCCTCCTCACCTATGGCCTGCCTACCGTAATGGTCTCTCTCTCTCTCTCTCTCTGACCCGCTCTCTCCCTCTCCCTCTCTCTCTCTCTCAGTGGTTGGTACGTCGTTCTTGGTACTTTGTGCCCTACGGTCTTGCCTACGCGACCTACTGACTTGCCTACGCCCACCTAGGGGACCTACGCGACCTAGGCGACCTACCTACATCCTACACGATCCATGCGACCTGCCTACGGCCTGCCTACCGTAACGCTCTCTCTCTCTGTGGATCTCCCTCTCCCTCTCTCTCTCCCCCCCCTCTCTCTCCCTCTCCCTTTCTTTCTCTCAGTGTTTGGTACTTCGTGCTTGGTCGTGTTTGGTTCGTGCATCGGTGGCACTTTCGTGTTACTTGGTGCTACTGGGTGCATTTGTGCTACTTCGTGCTTCTCCGTGCTTGGTTTGGTTTCGGTGCTACGTGCATCCGCGATTGGGTCGTGGGATCCGTGCTTCATGTTAAGTGCAACGGTGCTACGTGCATCGTGGAATCGGTGCTTGGTTCAGTCTGGCATAGTCGAACCTTTTTTATGGAGTTGTGTAAAGCGAACATGACGTCACACACACGCATGCAGATGCATCTTGGGCAGACTGTCGGGGTTCATTCTCCGATGAAACAGTCTGGACAGTAATGCTTCCTTTTTGGCGTGCACGAAGGCACGAGAGAGAGAGAGAGAGAGAGAGAGAGAGAGAGAGAGAGAGAGAGAGAGAGAGAGAGAGAGAGAG